TTAAAGGCAGCGATCACGATGGCTAGGGTGATGCGGTTATGATGAGTCGTTGAAATTCATTGGTGGACGGCGTTAAGAGGCGGTTCTGCCCATCCCTCTCCCCTCCCCCGCCCCCTCCAGCGCTCCGATTGTGAGGAATTTAGACCACTAATGACGTAGTATGTCGTCATCAAAACAGTCCCGCCCTCCAACAATCGTGATCACTGCCTTTAGGTTCGGAGATGTCACACTCACCTGCCAACAACATTAGACAGAACTTTATTGGCAATGATATCATGCTGTCCTCGTGTGGTTCCAAATATCCCATTGTTCTCCTGCAATCAATAAGTTGGATTCGGAACAGACTTTTTTATGAATGGTATAAGGGCTTTGAATGTGTCAGGCTTTGAAAAAACAACTCGCATACTGCTAAATAAACAATGGACGAGCGCTGTTGCAATGGCAATCACTATTGAGAGGGCAGGGACAAAATTGGGTGGAGAAGAAGCAGAAAGGGTCTCTTTAAGGCAAGCCGCGACGCGAAACTCGTTTGTAAGAGCACTAGATAATAAAGGTGGAGGTGCAGAATGGGCCGAAAGTGGGAAATAAAACGTTAAAATCAAGAGGTCGTAGGTCTACTGCTGCACGACGGAGATTCAGAGCGAGCAGAGAAGACAGAAAATACGAGAGAGCACGACGTAGGAGTGGGCACAGAGAAGCGGCCGTTGCGACCGTCTCTAGACAACTTAGCGGCCCCAGCTGGTGGCCGAGAACACCCTTCGAGGGGTGTCCGTGGCGCATCGGCGACGTTCGCATCTACTCTACCCACCGAAAACATTGTACTAGAGGTTTTATTTACCACCGTTTCATAGCTTGAATTTTTATTAGCCCTTCACACGCGAACTGTAAATCAGATCTGACTAAATTCTTAGTCATAAGGTGCTTGATATCTCCAACTTTTGACTTTGCTACTACTATCAACAAACACTCAAATGAGTTAGATTTAATCCTTACTTAAAGGCAGGGTATACGATAAAAGACAGCCATCGAAAACCAAGGTAGATGTGATCACTGATGCAGAGATGTAGAAAAAACTAAGAAAGACAGCTTAGCACCGATGAATGGGACGACATTCCTGCCATTGATATTCGCTGACGTCAGCAGCGTGAATGTAACTGCCGAATAGCTGAGAAGTAAAAGCCTTGTTG